CCCCCCCCACACCTGTTTCACAAAACGACAATAATCGTGTAGTAATCATCCAATATGTAAATAAACAGAAAATGCGAAAAGGATTCTCTGGATTGTTGAGATGCTAGATCATATTTATTAGAATAGATATGAGTTCCAATGGAGAAAATGCAGAAATAATGTTGGATAATCCTGACGAGACGGATTACATCCCATTCTTGCCCAGTTATGACTTACCTAAAGATAAGATCCACCTTTATCGCCTTGAGGAACTTGTGAATGCACGCCTACTCGGTAAAATGCCACTCTTATTCACATAATTTTTTTGGTTATAAAATGGCTTGCACATCTATTTTTTAAGGGTAAAAAAAGATTATTCCAAGAAAATTATAGTGACTCATTTGCGAATGTCTGAAAGTAGTATTTTTCCTGGAAAAAAAAAGAATCATCTTTTTTATTGCTCATCATATTTTCCTCTAACCTCGTCCCCTGCTGAGATATTTCAACGATAATCTGCATATCCACTTTTTCAGTGGTTAAAAATTAGAGATCAAGCATAGAGTTTCATTCCCGAATATCTCTGAAACTAGTGGGTTTATCCAAAAATGCCAAATAATTGTTTCAGTCGCATGCGATTCTCCGATATTTACGAAATAATCTGTACATGTGTTCATTGAACGTGAAACGATTCCCCTCACTTTCATTCTAGTTCTGTTCTCTGTGAAAAGCCTAAATCGCTCTACAAGTAGCTCATTAAGCGAAAAGAAAGCAAAATTGATCGAGCTTCTTGAGAAACACCACCTAGACCATTACCTCTGGCTGTTAACGCACAATGGTGTCGACCCAGGGACAGAAGAGCACCAGAAACACCTCGAGGAGGAGAAGCTAGCCCATATCTATACGCACGCAGTCTTCTCCTGTGACACAGCAATCACCGATTTCCTGGTGAAACAGGAACAACTACTCTTCAAGTTCCAGATTATGTCTTACGAAATTCCCCAGGTGATGGAATTCTTGGAGAGAAATGGAATAGCTTTTCCAGAAGCAACTCCAAGAGAGAAAAAAACTCTCCGGGGTGCGTTGCATATTCACTGGAACTCTGATAAGCCCCGTGACCCCTTGGAGAAGATTTACAAAGTTCCCTGGCTTTCTTCGGCCGATCTCCTCAGAAGAGGAGAAGCCCTCCTCCATGAAGGCATTTGTTACATTCCTGAGAGCAAGATGAAGGGCGTCCTCCCAACATTATTCGATAAACACCTAGATAACGAGAGGAAGATGGAACTCTACAAACTCGTGGCTACAGTAGTCTTAACTCGAGATCAAGCAGTCTTCCTGCGTGCATCCCTGATCCCGACGTTTCGCAACAAAAAACGATACACTCGTGACATACAATTCGATATGAAAAACCTTGATAGAGACGTTGGTTCTTTCCCCCCTTGCATCAGAACCATCCTCGATAGCTGGAACAAAAAGAACCAGCTGAAATACGATTCACGACAGCAATTGTGGCGCTTTTTCCTCGGCCTTCAAACGAACCCTGTCGCTCTCGAAAGCCACATGAAGAAGACCTTTAAGGTTCCTGAATCGAAGATGAAGGAATACATTTATGAAATGAGACATACCTTTGGCTTGGTCGGGAGTAAATTTCAATACAAGACACCAGATTGCTCTTTCTATAATCATGGTCCGACGAGGTTTGCAGAGGTGGATGGCTGTCCTTTTACTAATGTTGATTCGGGAGATATTGAGGATCTGGGGACTAAGCTGACTGAATGGAATATTCCAGCTAGAGGTGAATTTATGTTTTAGAACTTGATTTTTTGGAATCGCGAGATTGTGCGATTTTAGGAAATATTATTTTTAGATTTGAGGGAAAAGGAATTCTCTAAAAAAATTTAATGAAGTATTTGAAGATCTGCTTAGGGATTCTGTCAATGAAAAAATTATAGAAAATCAGAGTCCTTACAGATGCAGTTTTTTTTATCAAAAAAAAATTTTAGAATTTCTCATTTCCATAATTTTTACAGCCCATCTTGAAATTCTCGATCACAAAGCCAACGGACACTGCAGCAAAGCCTGTGGAGCTTTTTTCACAGCAATCCATGGGGTTGAACCAAGGCAGGAAATCCTCAATCCTCTAGATTTTTATGCTGAGAGCATGGAAGCATTGAACATGAACTCTACCACGGATTTGGAGCGCGAGGAGCTGGGCTCCGAATTCTTCGACAAGCTCTTCAAAAGTTCACATGAGAGATATACTGCAGTTTTGGATGAGGCAATGAGGCTAGAGACTGTCCGGGAATGTTTGGAAGAGCAACCACTCGACGAGCATTGGGATTTCGATATAGAGGAGATTGAAAGGATGAACTGTAATTAAACTTACAAAGCATGTTTATTCGAGTGATAACGCAAAGGTTGTGCTTTAAAGACTAGTTCTGATATTTCGTACGTTTAAGAGATAATTCTATGTTCATTATTGTACATGTAAAAATATAGACATGATATAAGGCTTCCTTTTGTACTTTTTACGTTCATCCAGTTGTCATATACTGGCCAATAAATACTCTGAAAAATTAAAGAAGAAGATGAAAATTGTGTACATGTTTTACTCTCATTTGGAAGCAAAAATGAACTCAAAACTGATGACTCTTCTTCCCCAGAGAATTTGATAGGGGAGGTAAAATGGAGGTGGGGTAAAATGGACACTTTAGACTTTTTAAAATTATTCATAACTCAGAAACAAATTTATCAATTCAGCTCAGTTTAGACTCGTCACAAAGGGAAAGCACTGTTTTTTTTGTACTGATTGGTTTTTTGTATTAAAAAAAAAAATTATTGAATTTTATCAACATTTTAACCTCTCATTAACATTTAAAAAAAAGTTGAGTGCCCGTTTTACCGCAACCTCTCCCAAACCAATTTTCAAAATGATTATTTTCATTAAAAATTATTCTGCAATGACTAACCTGATGTTGAGAAATTCCATAAACGAGTGGTACTTTGAAAGAAACTGGGAAAAATTCTGAGTTAATGATGCAACTTTATTAATTCAAATACTGCTCGATCGCGATTGGACAGCGATGAAGCATCGCTCAGTCGCCGCAAGATGGCGCCACCGTACGCACAACAAAACGAAAATCCGTGGGATAGTCGGTCTGTTTATTGTTAGATGGTAGTAAACACGAGCGCGGGCTACTCAGTTTTCACCTTTTCACGTATCACCGAAGATTATTTACAATTGAGCTGCCGGAGTGAAACTTTATTCGCTTTGTTATTGTGTTATATCATACGTTCGGACGTATGTTGTGATGTAATGAGATTGATACTTAGTGAAAACAGTTGAATATCAGAAGACTCTGCCAAGTGTGTTGTGTTGTGTCCGTAACTTGGGATTCCATTGGGGGGGTTTTTATTTACATCGTGGTGATCATTGAACAGGAATTCTTTTGATGTGGAAAAAGTGTTGTGTCAAGGAGCCAACGCAAATGAAGGGTACGCGTCTGCAAGGTCAACAAGGGTGAGTAATTGCATAAATTTCATTATCATCGAAATCGAATAAGATCAAATAGCTCTGAGCATATCATGAACGTTTTGATAAGAATCACGTACTGCAGTCGCAGCTTATTAACACTTCGGTGTATTTAATGTTTACGGTGGAACTAATGTGTGATATTAAACGGATATTAAACATTTCACTAGTCGTTGACTGCTAGGTACGTACGTAATGAAGATGACTTTGGTGTTGCACATTAGGAGGAGAATAAGCAAAGATAGCAAGGCATGATAGGCGTTACGACACCATAAATTCGTTGAATTTCAGCAGATTATCGACTTCGTAAACAGCCCCTTGTTTATTTCGTTCGAGAAGAGAATTTCGTCTCTTTTTTATTACATATCTCGTAGGAATTTTATTCGTAGTCCAGGTGTTGTTGTCACTCCTGCTATTCGTATGGAATCTATCAAATGTTATTCTCCCATCCAATGACCGTAATCTCGAATTGAACAAAAAAAAGTGAGACATCCCCAACAACTTGGCTGAAATCTTTCATTATCTAGGCATTTGTACTGAACAATAGAACAGTTTTAATATGGCGTCGAGTGAAGAGGCTAAAAACAGCAGTTTTCATTCAGTGATTTTCTACTGCATTGGCGGGGAGAGTGAAACGAGAAAAGATGAACTGTATACATCTCCACAAAAGGGGAATACAGGCGGGATGGGTTGTATTATATACTATACAGAAGTGAAATCGGATATAGCATTCCAGACGAAGGTACAACCCAGTTGCGCATTTTGCAATTTTAATACCGGAATTACCAAAGTCCTCTACCCTTCTCCCTGCTATTCCATTCTGTTCTCTACTCTTTTCACGTTTATCTCTTCACCACGAAAAAGTTCAGAATTTGCATTCGAGCAGATTGTCTGGATGTCGTTTATTAAAAAAATTGACTCACGGACTTGTTTTCAACGTTTGCAGAGTGAAAATATAAAAAATGATAAAGTGGGTAGCGAAGTCAGTAGAGTAGTGCAGAAGACGAATGGATGACGAGTGCTAACTGTGAGAAGAATCAGTAGAGCGTAAAGAATTGTAATATTCGATCCAAAAGTTGTCAATCCATCGCAATCCAATCGGAAAATTTCCTCTTCTGTCCTGGAATCAATGAAGTCTTTCTCAATCATTATATTTCTATGTTCTTCACCGAAAAATACCGACTTTGTTGTTCCCAGAGTGCTTCAATATTGTTTGTAAAAGAAAGTCTTCGAGCCAGGGAAATCACTCTACTCTACTGGTTTCTCGTTATTCATTTCAATTGCTATGAACTCAGTGTTTATACGGTAATGACAATCTTTTGTGTGCCAGAAAGAGGAACATAGACGATGAGAAATGTTAGGTGTCGAGCAGTGAGTGTCTGAGATGATTCTAGAAAATCTTCGACAGAAAGGAGTTTCCTTTGAGCTGTTTTTATTCTCTGCAGCATGGCAGAGGTCCCACAGAGACGTGACGGGGATTTGTATGCAGGCGTTATGGTCTGATTGGATGATATTGATTTTTTTTTACCACAAAAATTTATAATCAAGACGTGAATTTGCCTCGCAGACTAGACAGCTTGTCATAAAAGAGAGAGGACGAAATTTGTCTAGCGGGTGGATGGGGAATTACGCGGATGTTTTTAATTGCATGTTTCGGGTATGCATGGCATAGCGTCGTGTGAGTTATCCTTCCTTTTGGCTTTAAATAAAACATCAGGTTGATCTCTCATCCTCTCATCCAGCGTAAAACCGTATTTTCCACACGGAGGAAACAAAGTTTTGATTTCCAGAAGGATGTCATTGATTTTCAGGGACTCATCTCTAATTTTTGGGAATCTATAACTAAATTTCAGTGATTAAAATCACTCATGATCACGGCCATTCCAGTCAGTGTCCAACATCACCAATAACTGGCGATAAATTTCTGAAAATCAGTGACATGTCCCTGAAAATTGAAACTTTTTGTTCTCTGCGCATCTGATTATAATTAAACTTGCGTGGCGATGGGTTTCAATTTTCGTTCCACCTTTAGTCGAGGTGTGTGAAAATAATTTCGTGGAAATGTGTGCATCATCCTCCGGCCAAATGGTTTTCTTCTTTGTATCCAAGATTTTTTTTTCGTCAACTGGACCCACCCTTTTGTCGTTCCATTGAACGCTTTTTTTGTTAGAGACTGCACAGTCATTTTTCTTAATACAAAAAAACACCGCCGAGAAACTATCGTAGACCAGGAAAATTGAGTTTGTCACAAGACGCTCAAGGGGTGAGTAGATTAACGGAGCTCTGGGGGGTCGACACCCTAATCATTTCCCTCGGAGTTCCACGCGATTGACATCAAATCTGCCGACTCACTCGCTCTCATCCCTCCTCCGATTCAATTTGATCATTTTGCGGTTGCCAAATCACTTCAAACCCCCTACTTACGGGAGCGAGAGACCATCGCACCACGCCAATATATTTCATGAGGATAGCGTCATTTTTTTTCAAGAGATTATTTTTCATGCAACAAAGGTTGTGTAACATTTTGACACAAACGGATGAAACCGAGTTACTGGAACAGCGTCGATTAAACAACTTGCTGACAGATACTGTGAAGTATAAAGTCGATGCAAGAGAACAGTGGAATGAGACATGCAAGCGCTCGAACGGTCAAAGCCGTTCATTCAACAAAGAGCTTCAACGCCCTCTGACGCGTTGGGTCGTCCCGACGCTCCGCTTGGCCCAAGCTCGTGTCGCAAGCTCCGATGAACAGGTATACATAGACTACTTGGGATGCCTCTCTCTATTGGGTAGCATCACAAAACCCTCCCGCAAGGGGAGTGTAATGAACGAGTTTTCCCTCTTGCATAGCTACAACCACGTTGTGCCTATGATAAAAATAGGTGTTTGGCATTTGTTAATCTACTTCACACGCTTCACACTTCACATTTTTTTAGCTTTGATTTTTTTTTCAAATTGCTATAAATCCTTTGTGGAATCAATGACCTAGAAACTGATCCTCACTTGGTGAAAAACAAAAAAAAAAACAAATACTTCCCTTTCAGTGATGGATTGCTAGATCATTTTTGATGGACTGAGACAGGATTCTTCGTGCAACGGATGAAGAGCATAACTCTGTCGAAGATACAATGAGAACTACTCTGCCAGTAGAGAAGACGTAGACGCGGTGGATCGGTGGAATGTAATTAAGCTAACGTCTACATGGAGGCGCACAACCAGAGAGAAGGGAAGATGGTCTACTGTCAAATTAAACGGCGAATGGGTAGACTGGCCTCGTTCGTCATACTGATTTATTTAGGACCAATGAATGGAGACAGACTGACTCTCAAGGGGCGACTATTGCGTACTTACAAGTACAGTTGGACAGTTATAAAGATGTAACGGATACAAGTTGAAATCGGAATTAAGAATAGGAGGCAGAGGGATTAGTTTTGGGCTCGTTAATTTATCGAGAATGAGCCTTGGCTGAATGGATGAAAACCACTTAAATATTACTATTTTTGGACGGCTTGGAATCACGAGAATCGTGTCCATCTAATTACCCAATTAAACGTAAAGATTTAAAGCATCAGAAGAATTTTCATTTACGTATTGTCGTATTGAATAGGCGAAACGATGTTTCACTCTCGGTGGAGAGTCGGTGGAGATTGTTCAACGCTGCACTTTTAGATAAAAATTGAAATTTCATGGACAGTTTAGTAACAAGGCAGTGTCTATTCACACGCTCCACGGTAACTTTGACCGGATAATACGGGACGTTTTCCCGTGGATTCAAGGTAATTTCTATCGTGGATATATGGGAGATCGTGGACCTTCAACTTTTACTTCTCAAATTAAATCTAGACAATAAACTAGACACATCGAATCAATTGATACATGATATGCAGATAGTAGACTAGTAAATAATTTTCTTAAAATATTAATTCGTTGAATGCGAATATCAGTCTAGATTAGCGCAAATAAAAAATGAAATAAATAGTTTTT